TTTTTTAAATAAAATCACTGTATCCATTACACTTAATTCATTTGTCAAATCTGTGACTCCACTCAGAAACATTTTTCAAACTCATTTGTTTGGATGGCTGACAGCACCTCCCTCATTTTCTTTTAACCTCTTCTAGTCATCAAATCTCTGTCCTTTCATGTCATCTTCATTTGGAAACAAAAACAAGTCGCACATAGCAAGGTCAGATGAGTAAGGTGCATGGGGCAAGAGAATGCTGTTTTTTGCCAAAAACTGGCGCAATGAGATGGTTGCGTGAGCAGGTGCATTATCAGGGTGTCAAAACCATTCCCCCATCTACCACAAATCAGGCCCTTTTATTCCACATGTTGTTAAGCAATCTTTTTGGAACCTCTAACTAGAAAGCTTGATTAACAGTCTGACCTACTATAACAAACTCCAAATGCAATCAACATTTTTGTCTGTTTGGGAAGTTGACAGATGTCCAGAATGAGGTTTGTCATCAATCAACATTTCACCTTTTTTGAAAAGAGAAAACCACTCACACACTTGAGTTTTTCCCATAGTGCTGTCCTTGTAAGCTGTGTTCAACATCTCAACACTTTCTGTGTCCCAAGCAGGAAACCAAATTTCACAGCCGCTTGCTGTTCTCTTAAATCACCCAACACAAAAACGAAGTTTGAGCGAAACTGCTTTTATAAAAAAATGCACTGTATCCAAAGAGAACCTCCTAGGCAATGCCACTGGGTGCACTAACTCAGGGCCAGTTGACTTCATTTGTACTACAAAAGCTCCGCTCCATATAGTGCAATTCTGGTTTATATGTGTACCCCTCATATGTAATCAGATACTAATAGAGAAAAAATTTAGAACTATGAAAAAATAAAGACCACAATCACTCCTTGCTTAGAACCTAGGACAAAAGGATATTTGGGTTTGTCAATCTGTCCTGGTTTTATGACATTTTTATGGTCATGAATAAATTTCACAACTAGTACTAAAATTATATATTTTACTATGGAAGCTTTCATAATATTTAATTATAATGACATGAGCACATTGCAGGAAAGGAAAACATCCAAGCAGACTTTCACTATGCTATGGGAAAAGAAGCAATTTCCTTCTCTTAACCTCAGTGTATCAAATCCATTCCTTTATAAATCCAGTGCCATGGTAAGTCAGGCAGGTAGCTGCTACAGTTAGATGATGAGAAAGATGGGTCGTCTGTTCCTGTAAAGAGTTCAGTAGCTTCAGTGATATTCATTTCCAGGTAGTTTCGTTCCAGAGTCTGTGTTCTTATATTCCATGGAGCTGCTAGTGGTTTTGAACTTCTGACTATGCATATCTCAGCCCAACTTGTAACCACTACCCCATCAAGGCTCTGAGTCTGTGTTCTTAATTACTGTGCTATACAGCCTCCAGTAAGAACTGCTGAACACATGTTTAGTAAATGAAGGAATGAATGAAAGACAGTTAAAGACATCACAGATACAACTGTTTTGAGTCAATGCAGTCTGGGTTTAAATCTTAATTGAGCTGTTTACCAACTATATGGACTTGTCCCATATATACTCGAGTATAAGCCAGCTTGAATATCAGCTGAGGCACCTAATTTTACCACAAAAACTGCATTAAAAATGTGCTGAAAAACTCGGCTTATACACGAGTACGTACGGCATAAGTCTTATGAGATGAGGATAATAATATATAGGTTGAAGTGTTGCCAAGCTATTTCAATAGATCACATGTGCCCAGAAAACCCACTCACTGCCATTCAGTCCATTTTTGACTCACAGCAACTCTAACGAGGGCGACCACAGCTGTAAATCAGAAAATACATTAGAGCTGACCCGCTGAGCCACTGGTGGGTTTGAACTGCAGAGCTTGCAGTGCCCAGTCCAATGCTTCCCCAACAGCACAAACAATAGGTGTTAAGAATTTCCTAATATCAACTGCATATAGCTCTGAATCTTCTACCAACCCTATTTTTTAATATCCAGAATATTAGAAAAAGAGCATATTTATGTTAGTATATATAAACCGTAAGACTCTAACCCTCGCCCCTTGATTTAACACCTTACAGATAAACTCTAGAGTTTTTCAACCTTGACACCACTGACTGACTGATACATGACAGGATGTTTATCAGCTGCTAGGAGCACCCCTTCCCAGTCATGACAATCTACTGTCTCTAAATACTGCCCAACATCCCCTAGACACGAAGTCACCCTGGGGGATTATCACTGTTTCATGGAATAATACTGGCGACAGCGCCTCAAGATGCTCAGAAAACTGGCGCTTCTGTGTATTCAATTACCATAAGTAGAAGACAATCTGTAGACAGCAATGGAGTCTATTTTAAAAATATTTAAAACCCATATAGAACTATAAATACAAATGTACTTCCCTTTCTATAATTACAAACATGCTACTTTTTAGCATAACTAGCACTCTTTTTAAAGAAATGACATGTCCCATTCACCCAAGTAAATAAGTAAAAGATCTACTTCAATCTACAGAGTGCAAGCACAAATGACGTGACTTTACCTTGAGGGCTGACGCGATGGTCCCTTCTGCTGCTGGTGGGAATGAGTTCTGGCTGGAAACCACCTAGAATAAGGTTTTAATCCAGTTACAGTTCTGCTTAGGTCATTTATTCTATAATACTAATTTTGGTCATAACAAGCTACATAGAAAATATTATTACACAGTAGTAATGACTCATACATGGTTTTAAAGCCCATTGGAATTTATTAATAAAGATAGGATGGAAAATACAATAGTGTAGAAAGCAAATACATGCTTCAAATAACTGAAACATTAAGAGCACAGGTTTTCTTTTATTTACTTTAGTTCATTTTTTTAATTATAAAGTTTAACTGAAAAAAGTCAGTAAACACTTGATTTTAGTCAAAAGGCCAAGAAGCGATTTTTAAGTCAGTATAAAGCTTTTTTCTTTTTTTTTTAATTCACATGGGATTCCAACCTGACTCTAACTTTCAACAAGCCTTTAAATACAACTGTCAGATATTTCTCTTCTTATAAGTCAATTTAGACATAGCAGAGTAGCGCAGCAGAAGCATGCTGAGCCCATAAATCAATTCAAACATTCTAAAATTCTGATAGTACCCATAAAAATATGAAAATTAAGTGAAATAGAATACAATCTTTCATTGTTTATGTTGTTTCAGAATAATAAAGGACATGGAAATTTTTTTAATAATTCCATTGTTCTGAGGTTATGTACTTAAGAGTAATAAAAGACATGGAAAAAAATTTTTTGTAAAGCACATTTGTACAATTCATTGCCCTCATCATTCTCAGAAAAAAAATTTAATAGTCATATAATTCTGACATGTACCTGCTGATGTATTTTGTTCAATTTTTGAAACACACATTTTAGGAATCCCCTATCTGAATAAAGGACTTGTTAAAAGTTTTAAATATCTGATTAATAGTTACCTACAATATTCTAAAATACAAGCTAACATAGGTAGCTTCCTATTATAGACCACATTTTCAAGAACATCATCTAACCTTCAGCCTTCTTCGAGTCTTTGAATATTTACCTCCTTATTAAATATGTAGAAAATGATCTATAGGAAGTTATCAAATGCAAGCTATTCAAGTCAAACAGTGGGTTTAAATGGTTGGTTTTCTAATATTATGAAAAGTTCTTCTCAGACACGACAGATGAAAGTGAGTTAAAGCTCAGCTGTTTCCTCTAATAGAACAACAAGAAAAATACACACTGTCCTTGCAAACAGTCACCAATAGTATCACAGAACCTCAGCTTGCAAAGCCACTCTCCTCCCCAACTTTGTGCAAGTATAAACACGTCTTGACAGGTTGGAGGGCTTTTTTATGTGTCATTGTATTTACTACCATCCCTACAATAGCCAACTAAGCTTTTCCAGAAGTAGGAAACTCATATATATGCTTCTCCTATGGCTCTTTATTCAATACACTTGAACATACCTGCTAAACTGTGAGATTCTACTTTATACTTTATAAAATTCATGCATTTTACACCAAATTTATAGACAAAGGCACACTAATAATACAGGCCAGAAAGAAAGATAAAGTTTATTTTAAAGTGATCATGTGTTCAATGCTACATTTGTTTCCAAAAATAAAGCCAACGGGAATCTTAATTCATGAACTGTCTAAATTTGAAACAAGAAGGAAGGAAGGACCTAAAATTAAGAGTCCAATCAAGTTTACCTTTGTTACTGATAGGTGTAGCTTATATAGTGAGTTCACCACTGCCACATTTCTCCTCTGTCCTTCAGT